AATGGTTGAAATGAAAAATAATACCTCTTCCCCACCCTTCAGAGTCCTCTCTGATTTAAGGAGATGAAAACACTAGCATTTCTAAACCCAAGGCTCTATTTGGGATGTGGAATATAAAGTGCCTTTTCTAGCTAATGGCAGGAAAGGAATGCACAGGTTTCTCAAAAGAAGATTGTAGGACCCATGCTGGTCTAATTTATGTATCTTCCTGCCAGGAAAAAAAGGAAAAAAAAAACCTTCATGGATCTGGCACTTATTCAATGATTATATGATATTTTATATATTCAGTGCATATTTGGAAATATTTTTAAATTGAGTTTTGAAACTATCTATAAAGAGAAAATATACTCTTTTCCACTCTTAACTTCTAGACGGCCACATTGAAAAGTACTCCTCTCATGCAGAAAGAGATTAACGATTGTAAGGCAACACATGGAAATGTGACAATTATTAAGCCCATGGACAGATTATAATGTTAGTCAAGAATGACTCATGGGACTGTATCTGGCTTTGACTTTGGATGTTAGCAATAATCATTTGAAATAGTTCCTTTAGCAAACTAGTCACCTCATTTTGCTTTCTTTACCTCAAAGGAGAGGAACGATGAAAGAGGAGCCTTGACTGGAGTACGTGTGTGCCATGTGTGCTCAGTGGAGGAGAGGTGGGGGTGGATGGCCGTAACTGAGGCTCTGGACAAAGAAGGAACATCCTTCATGTCAGAAATCAGCTTTGTGGGAGTTGGGTGGTTTTTAACAGGCTTTGTGCAGAGCTTCTCAAATGTGAATTCACTTAGGAGACATATGATTTTTAAAAACTTCTGTAAGAAAATTAGATATCTATTAATAAGCAAGCATATTAGTGTTTCATCAGTTCTAAAGATGGGTTCTGTTTATCTCAGTATTCCACTACTGCATTCGCTTCCTAGGGCAGTAATTATCACCAGTGTGGTAGCTTAGAACCATAGAAATGTATGCCCTTACAGTTCCGGAGGCCAGAAGTCTGCAGGGAAAGCATCAGCAGAGTTGCTTTTTTCCTGGAGGCTCGAGGGAGGACCTGCTCTCCATCTCTCCCGCGCTGTGGGTGGCTGCCCACAGCTCTTGGCGCTTCTTAGCTTGTAAATGCATCACTCCAACCTCTGCTTTCTTCTCATGGCCTTCCCCTCTATGTCTCTGTGTGTCTCTTCCTTTTCTTTTATGAGGACATCCATCATCAAATTTTGGGCCCTTCCTGAGCCAGGATGATTTTATCTCTATATCCTTGCAAAAACTCTTACTCCAAATAAGATCACCTTCACAATTCTGGTTTTGCATTCTTTTTTCAGACTTCTGGGGGAAATATTTAACCCACTATAGAAGCAACGGCGTCAGTCCCTGGAAACTCCTGAGGTTCATAATCTTGGCTTCATGTCTAAGCTTTCTCTTTTTCTGTTTTCTTTGTTCACTTTCTACTTCCCTTGTCCTCTAACACACATAAAACAGAGTTTGTAGCATGATTACTCCTGCTCCATTGCAGTGCTTGACAAACTAAAATATAGACACCAATAAAAATAAACACTTTCACAGACTCTGGTTGAATTTAACTATCTTAATTTCATTTCAATATGCACAACAAAGAACTAGGTTTAAAGTTCTTAAGCATAAAGTTCTTACACAATCATAAAACAAAAACAAATCCAAGAACTAAACACAATGAAAGCATAAAGCCAATAAAATTTAAATGTATTCATTCCAAAAGGTTTTTACTGAATATCTATTATGTACTAGATACTGTTGAAAGTGCTGGAGATACAGTGATAAAACAGACAAAAGTAGCTGACCTCATGGATTACGCTTACACATTTCAGTATATTGGTAACTCTGAAAGAACTATACATTATTAACATGCCCAAATCAAACACAATTCACAATGGACTCTATGAAACTTACTGCTACTAGGCAACGACATTTGAGTTCAGCATATCTATGCCACTGTTTCTCACATGATAACCCAATTCTACAACCTTTGCTCTGTATTCCAGTAACTGCAAACATTTCCTCCATATAATGAACTATACTATCATGTAGTACAATCCCATCATTTATATATTAAACCCACGCTTTTCTTTTCTCATTAGGCTTCAACAATTTAAGAATAGATTGCTCTGCCACACCATAACATTTTCATGCAAACCAAATCAGCAAGTCCATGTATCAAACAATCAAGGAACCAAAATCTTGCTCTAAGAAAATTTCCTCTGAGAGCAAATTTCACTACAAAGGAGAAATTGCGTCTTTGAAACAGATTTTTTAAATCTGGTGTGCACACTCTCGTCAATTTTTTTTTTTGCATGTCCTGGTTTATAGCTCTATTAGGATTCTCTATATTTCAAGAGCCTTAATTCCAAAAGCATACAAGGATGGAAAACACTGCTCCACACCCCAATATTTCTTATACTCATCACCTTATTTTTTCTTTTCAGTATTCAGATGAAACAATGGGATATGCGAAATACATTTGCCAAATTTCAACTTAACATTTTAGCACTTTTGCTTAGCTGTTACCTGCCAAAATAATCAATATCCCAGAAGCACCACAACTCAATCTTATGAGAAAAAGACAGAAAGACAGAGACAAGGGGGTTGCAGGGAACTGCTATCATTCTATAGCGACCATTTCCATTCACTCCTTCTTGATGCCCCATGCCGCCTGGACCCCTGAATTCCCAGGCATCCATGAGAGCAAACGCACCAGAGCTCATCATTGTTACATAAAGAGATTAAATATATATGTACATTTTAAAGTCACTTCAAACAATTTTGTTCTTGAACATTGCTATTGTTTAGACTCCAGGATAAACAGTCTTCCACTGAACAGCGGCAGCCGAGAAATGGTTACTGTGATTTTGACTTTAGGAGCAACCATCCCAACAGCAACCAGGAGTGACTAACAGCATCTTAAAAGTGAAATGCTGTTATTTTGGCAGTTACATGATGCCAATCCTCAACTACAAATACAAAGAAAATACGGCATCTAAATCATCCAGCAGGGTTAGCTACCATATGGTTATTCAGATGACCAAAAAGGCAGCCTTTTCAAAATCTTAGGGAGCACTTCCTGGGCCTTGAGAACACATCGAGAGACCCTGATGAAGAAACACAGATCCACACAGGTCTTAGACTTCCTTGGTCATTCCTGGTGTTCTAGCCAGGCCCTTTCTAGACCTCTTATCCCTGGCTCATGGTCACATCTCTCTTCAACTTTGTCCCCCTCTACTCCAGCCCATCCCCTATGCAGTAGCCTGATGGGTTGCCCTCAGTTCAACCTATATTTATTGAGATCTACCATGTGCCAGATGCTATGCAAAGTTCTAGGGATACCAAAGTGATAGATGTATGTTTTCTGCATAGAGTTGACCCTTACACAAGTTTTAATTGTGCAGGTACGTTTATATGGGGATATTTTTCAATAAAAGTTACACCGAGTGTGTCTGCTTCTCTTGTCTCCCCTTCCACCTCCTCCATCTCCCTACCTCTGCCACCCCTAAGACATACAGAGTAGTACAAAATAAAAATAAAAAGTTATCCCACTCCTCCATCTACTCAACATAAATGATGAGCATAAATAAATTTACAATGATCCTCTCTCACTTAGTGAGTAGTAAATATATGTTCCCTTTCTTATGATTTTAATAACATTTTCTTTTCTTCAGCTTACTTTATTGTAAGGATATAACACATATAACATACTAAATATGTGTTACTTCACTGTTTATGTTATTAGTAAGGCTTCTGGTCAACTGTAAACTATTAGTAGTTCAGTTCTGAGGGAGTCAAAAGTTATACAAGAATTTTTTACTGTGTGTGGGGATCAGTACCCCAACACTGGTGTTGTTCAAGGTTCGACTATGTAAGGAATTCACATGTTTGTGAATTCTTAAGGGGGTCTTCTTTCTCAACAAGTCATGATCTCCTTCCCTCCTCAAAACATTCTTCCAAACGTTTACTCAGAGTCTTCCCAGACTCCTCTCTTCAGAGACTCCCCACAAAAACACTTTCAGAACTCACCTAGCCATGAGGTAGACTCACTCTCTCAGCATTCACATGTAAGTTCATATTTTTATGCACACATTTTTCTCAGTTTGTGCTCTCCTTTCTTCAGAGTGTAAGCTCTTCCAAAATCAAAACCTTTACTCTTAGCTTCATTCTTTAAAAGAATATACCCTAGTACCAATCACCATGCCCCAGGAAACAGACATCTTCTGTTCTTTGTCAACAAGAGTGAGCCCTTTGTTACCCAATTCAATCTGAGAAGTAACCTCAGACAATTTCAAAGGGCGAAGTTCTTTGCACTTTGAGCCTACAGCACTTGAGAAAGCCCAGACAGAACATAAACCGGAATCTGGAATTTCAGAAGCCAGCCAACCTAGAGAGCCAGGCTGGGCTTTCTGTGTACCCTAAACACCAAGCTTCTTGACTGAAGTCAGCCCTAAGAGCCTCCTGCTCTCCCAGAGTCTCAATTGAGGATTCAATGCACAGAAGTGTGTTTGCTTCCTTTTACAATTTGTTCAACCTTTCCTTGGAGCCCCAACCTAGATCACATCCTTCGTTAGTCCTGCTAGGCTCCTACTCTTCACATTTTATCATCTGGTAGGAAAAACAGGCCAAGGTTTATATCATGACTGCCCAGGGTGATTGAAAAGATTTCTAACATTCATCATGTCCAGAAGACAAAGAAGTCAAGACCATCTGAATTGCCTAACAAAGTAACGCATAAAATAACCCATGAGCCTTCTAACATAGAAGGAGAGTAAATAAGATGTGGAAACATTCGCTTTAGTTCACTACATTCAAGAAGTCATTCTCCATGATTCTGGCGATGGAACAGAAGCATTGCATACATTCGCTTGCGTGCACATAGGCACACACAGTGATAGCAGCAAACGCTCTTCTAAAAACTCTTCCAGATAATAACTCACTTACTCCTCGTCACAACCCCATGAGGTAGGTATTATCATTACTTACTTTTTTGATAGACATGGAGGTTTGTCACCAAGATCCCACTCCAAAAAATGACTCACTTCTCAGCTGCTGGGAAGAGTGGTCAGCAGGTAGCCTCCAGCTCCTTCAGGGTCTGTCTCAACTGCAGAGCTGTCTTGTCCAGAGTCACGTTCTTCACACAGGAACCCTGTGAAGCAGAATAAATTTGGGAAGAAAGGCCTGGCAACTGCAGCCTGACCTGGGGTAACACTGATGGACAATACTCACTCCAGAGCTCCCCACTGGGTTAGCCCCTATACTGTCAGGCCTGAATCACTGTTTGAATTCTCCCTCTCCCAATTCCCTTCCTCCCTTTACCTTTTACAGGTACTGATCTCTCATCAATGCTCTGTACATGAAAGTCCGTCTTATCATTTGCTTCCATAGAGCCCAGCATTTTACGCATGAAAGCGCTGAAGAACAGGGTTACATAACCAGTAGGATCAGGAGCCAGATTCTAACCAGGTAGTCTGGTTCCAGATTCCATACATTTTTGACATTTGGCTAGTCTGCCTTACAATATGTGAGGGACTTTAGGTTTTTCCCTTTCAAAACTTCAATTAGCCTTAAACTCCTTCTGCTTCAGGGCTGTGAACAAGGACTGAGGACATCTCTACTGCCTCTTCCACTGTCTGTATTAAATTTATTCCACTTGGATTGACTGCCAGATAGCCCTGTGGGTTTTCTCTTAAGAGCCATCTCAGTGGCTCCACTAACTCATAGAATATATGCTGCCACGGTTCTGAAAGCAACTACACACCGAATTAGAAAACCAAGGATCAATCAAGAACTAGTCTTTCAAGATCACTCAATGAGCATCAGTAAGGAACATATAAAAACAAAGCGAATGGCAGGGTGTATGGGGAAGTTTTCAGAATACTATAAGTTTCATCTTGGATAAAGGAAAAGTAAAAATTATATTCTATATGTTTAGGTCCAGAACCAGGATCTGTTTATGCATGTGAAAATACATTAGAGATTAGCAGAATTTACTGAAAAAAATATTTTTTTCATTTGTGTTGCTAAATATGCTCTTCTGAATAAGCTAAAGATTATTTTTAGGAGAAGTAGGGTGAGGGGGTCTAATTATTATTATCTCAATAATAACAATAGACCATAATAGACAAGAAACAATATTATTAACTCAATATGTCTCTTACTGAGACAATAATAATTGGACTCCCTCACTCTACCTCCACTCAAAATAAGCCAATGAGAGCTGAGATATCACTTTCTATATGGCAGTCTCAGGGGAGAAGGACCAGTGAAAAGCTGAGCCTAGTAAAAATGAAAGGAACCAAGGGTAACTGCACTAAGGGCAGAAGCACTCCCTATAAAGAAACTCAGCCCTGCTCGTGGGGCGCTGCCACCATGCGTGCAATGGAGTGTCCTTGTGATGTTCTGAGACCCACCTCAGATCGTTTAACCTTCCCTCAGAGAAACAGAACAATCACAAAATGGGCACCACCCAAGTTGTAGTCCAATAGGAGCCATGCATGTTCCAATCAATCGCCTGACACATAGATCCTAAAAAGAAACACCCAGACTGTGAGAACACTGGGAACTGGGACTAGGAAGAGACTAAGGGCATATTTCGCAGTATGGGAGGGGACCGGGAGGAGTTGGTCTGGTATCCCACGCCATACTGCCCATACAGCCATGAACACACCTATTTTCTTTTTCAGCGTCCTTGTGGTAAATGCTCCATATGATCATACCAGGTGAAAGGGGTTAAGGAGAATTGTTCACAATCCATGTCCTGACGCACAAACCCCTCAGCTAACTCAGAGAAGACATGCTGCCATAGCTGTGAAGTCAACTACTTGCCCAATTAGAAAACTATAGAACTATCAGGAACTAATCTTTCCAAGATCACTCAACGAGGCTACAGTTGTCCTTCTTCTAAACTTTCACATGACTTACCCTTGCCTACCATTGACCTTTTCTCTTTCTGCCTCCTACTTCAGCTGTGTGTGTGTCTTCACTCTTCTGACTGTCTTTGAGGGCATATGGTAAGAATTCAATGAGTGAAAAATGAAAAACAACTATTTTCTAAGTTTTTTTTCATACCACTTCTGAGCTAGCTCTGGAGAGAAAAGAGAGACAATATTCTAGAAACATATGGGGGCATTTTTGCAATAGGTCTTAAAGTGGGGCATTGTTTTTATAAACAAAATGACCCTTAAACACTTATGGTTCCTTTGAGCGTCAAACGAAGATAATAAATGCCCCTGGGTGTGACTCCCAACAACAGGCCACGGGGATCATGAATGTCAGTACAGAGGGTGGGTACTAACTCTTTTGTTGCTTGGTATTGCCTTTACATTTACCTGTATTGTACCAAGTCCACACTAGACATTCTGTGTACATTGTCTCATTGGACTTTCACCATTGCTGTGAATGTCACCACTAAATTTCTCCCCTAGTCTGGTCTTCTGTCCAGCTCTCTGCGTGGGATTCCCTCCTCTTCACTTATCTAGGCTAAAGCTTCAAGGACCAACTTACATCTCTCTCCTCCATGAAGCTGTACCCACTTCTCACCTTGAGTGATCTCTCCTGTGAAACTCCGCAAGCCTTACATGCTATGGCACTAATTTAACACCTTGTCTTAGTCTCCTCCTTATCTGCACGTCCTGACTCTCCAATAAAATGAAGGTCTCTTTGGCACAGGAATCAGTGTCCTTCATATATACTCCTGCTTATCATATTTTTAGAAATTTAGCCAGGTGTGGTGGCTCTCACCTGCAACCCTAGTTACTCAAGATGCTGAGGACGGAGGATTGCTTGAGGCCAAGAGTTTGAGACCAGTCTAAGCAATATAGTAAGACTCCATCCATCTCAAAAAAATTATTATAATAGAAATTTAAGAAATACAAAAATCCAGAGAAAATAGTCATATCACTCAGAATTAACAACAGTCTCCATTTCAAGTGATTGCTTCTAGACTCTCACCACCACCCCTCCCCTCCCCTTCTCATGGACCAGAAAGTCTTACTCTCATGAAATTGATATGGCTTTTACAAACACACATATGGGATATTAACATTGTATGTTTTCTTTAAGTATGGAATTTAAATTTCACATGGGGGCATCATATTGTACTATTATTCTCAATCTGGTTTTTTCTACTCTGGATTATAGTTTTTTTCACTACTAATTAATTACATTCTTAGAACTCATACTGGACACCGACAAAAGGATTTTGATAGTGATGACAATGGGGAAAGACACCACAAGGAGTGGAATTAGAAATTCATTCGTAATGCTTTTATAACCTTAAGAGCTGATAGCTAAATAGATATTTTTTCATTCCAGGGTCTCAACTTCCTGGTTCTATGATCTAAAGCAAGTCACCTAACTGGTCTGTCTCTCAGTTTTCTCAGCTATAAAAGGGAGGATCATGCCAGTAGCTAATTTGCATAGTGAGAAGTAAATTAATTACTGCATTTCAAGTTCTTAGAATAGTGCCTGACACTTAGTAAGCACTCAAATCATTATTATATTTAATAGTAAGTATAATTAATATCATTATTATGACACTAACAATGTTATTGGGAGAAAATTTAAGTGATATAAATTTTGAACCTTAGGAAAGTAGATAAGAGAAAGGGTTCGTTGGGAAATGCATTGCTTTATCAATAGTCATTAACTTTATCTTTAATATTTTCCCAGAAAGCCTGACTCTGAAAGCCAAGGCATTTTGCTTTTTTATCCACTTAGCTTTAGGCCTATGGCCAATAAATTGTCAATCATTTTAACCTCTAAACCTAACTCCGCAGAACAGAATATTCTCAGAGAAATCTGAAAAGTGAATTTGTTGGCTGCAATTATACTGCAGTTTCTCAGCATGTACTTTACAAAATTCTTAGCTGGTAGGGAGAAAACCCCTCTAAAACCACTGTGACAAAGTTACTTTAGAGCTTCAGTAGTTTTTCTTTCTTTAAGCCAGGTTTTTTTTTTTTTAATGTTACTTTTACACTCTCTCGATTTATTTATTTTGGCCTCAGTGGACTAGACCACAGCTAAAACTTTATGGACCTAATAAAATTCCCAACATTCTCAGACACGGGTCGTGATGTTTGTGCACTGGGCAGAAAACAAAGGTGCTTTATGAAGAGAATGGGCATGCTCAGAGATCAATGAACTGAGGTCAGCCTCGCAGGATTGGGCTGCAGCTGAACCACGGTACAGGCAGTGCAAGCCCTCAGTGTGTCCCTCACTCTCATACTTCCTCTCCTCTGTCTTCTTTTCCAGACAAATGACACAGTGCTCTCATGCTGTCCCTAGATTACCAGAGCCTCCTACCAGGATACTACTGAGGGCTTATCCTGCCCAGAATAAACTTTCCAACTTCACTTGCATGCACAGAATTCCCATCTTAACCTCACACTCATGCCTTCAAAAATTACTTGTCCTGTGCTTCCCTCCCTCATAGGCTTTCTTTAGCTAAGAGCTGCTTGGTCTGATAAAGTCAGTTCATTTGTTTTCTCTACCTTGTAGGACAGTCCCTTCAACAGAGGCTTTCTGGAGCCAACATCTCAGTGCAAAGCAATGGGATTGTTGAAGAAGTGGGTAGAGCTTACGGAAATCTTGAAATTATACCACATCAGAGCTGTCTCATTTATCCACCTACAGGACCGGTCCTCAAAGCTTGCAGGTTTACAACACTGCATTGTGCTGCAGGTGTGTGCAAGTCATCAGACAGCATAATTTCATCTTGCATTGTATTATGTTCTTTATAATTTTTCAATATATTTTTTTCTCCCTTGAGCGTAAAACAAATCTGTCTTCCAGTTAGTTTTCTATTTGCTGTTCCAAACAGAAGGTCTCTTACCAAAAGGACTGGATGATACCATTCACTTAAGGGACTACATTATATCAGCTGATAAACACAAACCTGCTTTGATGAGTAAAGTTGGAAAGAGGTAAGCAGTGGTTCTTAATCACTTGTAAGGGATTAATCAATTGAGTAATTCAAGTAAGAATGACGCTTCCTGAAAGAAAATTTGAATCCTCAAATAGTCAGTGAATATGGCCTTTCCATCTATTAAGAGCTGAAGACTCGGTGAGAATATATTAAAGACTAATTATGCCTAAAGCAAATAAACATTGCTGTCAATCTTCAGATAAGATTCAGAATGGGTTTTT